ACTCCACTCTGAAAATCATCAAAGGCCTTCATAAAAATTAAAATACTCGAATCAGTGAGCAGGGAAGACAGACAACTAAAAATCTAACTGTTGGCTAAATAGCATACATATCCTCCTGAAGGATCTTGAAAGTTAGTTCTTTCTGATGGTGGTTGTTCAGGATGTTGGATGCCAGGGGTCCTCCCTGCAAGTAAAAGTAGAATTTAACTTATTATAAATGAATATCAATGCAATGAGAATCTTAAAATGGTTCTGTGAGAAGCTATCTAACCAAATGGTAAACCATGGGGAAGCTGGGTGCTTTTCACCCATAGATTTAAAAGAGGCTTTGGATAATGAACATCTCTACTCCCTCTGGTAAATAGCTCCTCCATTAGCACATGTGGAGGAATATCCATGCGTCTGGCTACTTTTGTAGTTGCGAATACATCTGTGTTCTATAAACAACATAAAATTAATAGAGGCAGATGAAGAGTGAATGACTGGTCTCAAAAATAATCTTACAACACCTGCACCTCTTACCACAGTAATTTGAGACATATCTTGCAAATGAGAACAACTATGCTTAACTCAAGGAAGTTGGAAGAAGTGGGAACTTAAAAGTAACATATTTATTCACTCAGAAGGTGTACCTTTCTTTTTCTTCCTCTTCTTGACACTATGTCTGAGCAATTTTTAAGCCAGTCCTGATAAATGTGACCAGGGATTACAATCTCATCATTATCCATGGTAAAGGTTGGAGGCTTTCTTGCTCTACGTTGAGGTGGAACTGGCTTTTCTAGGACCTTTGGCTTCTGAGTATCATATTCATACACAAGACAGAAATGCCCTTAGTTTCAAGATGCCTAGACCTATCAGAGTATCATGTTCCATAAAACCATAACTCATTAAGATAATTTCGTTGGAAAACAAACCTGAATATTTCCTTTTCCTTCATGTGTCGGATTTAACCCGTCTTTTGGATGCTGCTCCTGGATCTCATTAGCTGAAAGAAGTCAACACTTCAGCTTATGTAACTACCTCCTTGGTTTTACCACTCAGTGAGATGTTTAAAACTTTGATTTGTATTACAATTCATTCGTAGTGCCATTGTGGACTTAGTGGTTTCCACATTCTTTATAGAGGTGGAAAATGAATTATGCAATCATTATAACTGGTCACTGTAAATGTGTTCTATCTTTATATGCTCCTAAGGCCTTAGAAGAGGCATATCACAACCATGGCATGCTTCAAAATGTTATGAAGCCAAATAAATCAGTTTATTTTTCACCAGGAAAAGTAAAGAATTCTGCCAAAGTAAATATTTATCCTAGCTATAGATTGTTCTATGATTATATCCTCTCCATTTTTTATACTACCAACTCTGCAACCAAAGTATTCAATCTAAGTACATAACTACATATAGATGTTCATTCAGTAGTGAAAAATTAAATTAAGAGCATTTAGACACAAATTAGACATTTTTTGTTCACCTTCTTGTTGCTCAGGCGGAGATGGTATGAGAGTATCTGGGATTTGAGTGTTATCAAAAGTGGCAAAATCTGTCTGTGTCTCCTCATCTCCCTCAATGTCAAACCTTCCAAGCAGTTTAATAAATTGCTGATTTGTTGTGAGAATGAAGATGTTGAAGACATTTTTCAACAATTCTACTAGACTTATAGAATACCCTTTGAGAAATAAAGTTTTGCTGCATTTGTAACTTGTAGGATAAACAAAGAACTCTATAACATGTGAAACGAAGAGGCTGAGGTCTACTTTTGTGGTTTTTGGATTCACCTTTCGAAATGCCTGTTTAGCTTTGTATCGTTCCGATGTGATTCAAAGTGGTCAAATAAGGTAATGTTATCTGCATCAACTGGAGGAAAGACATATGAATCAAGATACATTGATACAAGAAAACTGTCAAACACAGTGTTTGTGTCGTACACTGGTACAGGTAAACAATTATAAATTTATACCTTGATGAAGGTCTTGGCCTTGATCTTCTAGATTGACATTAATGTACTGGTTTTCCACATTGTCCAGGTTCTACACAATTCAAAAGTTCTTGATATCAGCACAATAACTTAAGTAAGAAGAAAATGCAAGAGCTAGATTTTAACATTAGAGTAACTAAGTGTCAGAAGAAAATGCTCCCAGAAGTTGCTTGAAAGTAGGCCTCCATATCTTAAGTTTACTAGTGATGCTGACAGTGTGAATCCATAGAAGGAAAGTCTCAAGGCACATGTGTAATGTTTGGCAAGAAACATACAGAACATTCTTTCAACTGCTAATACAAATAAACTAGAGTAATGATATCATAATGCTTCTCCCAATATGGAGTATTTTTCAAGTAGAATAGTAAATGTTTTTCTTGGCCTAACCATTGCAGCAAATGTGGTTTGCTGGAAACCCGTCATTTTGGATGTGTCTGAATGTAGCATTGGCTGTTCAATTGATCCATGATCTTTGTCCTGGTTCTCTTGCAATGTCGCAGCTTCACGCCTATGGTGGTCCAAATCACACAAAAAATAAAATACAAGATAAATTATTGCCCATTTCACCCCTAATGAATAGGGAGTAATAAAAATAAATATGGTACAGTGTTTGTATGGATTCCGATATACTCATTATTTATCAAGTATATCGTCTATAATTTCCCAGATACGGAGTATTACATGGCATTATATCTGAAAGTTCTGTTAGAGCCCAAAACTCTACATATGTGAAATGAGAGTATGAGACTATGCTGGAGATTATTGCACTCACTTGGCTTTCGGTTTATTTTTGGGTTGCGGGGTAGGATCTTTTAGAGGTGCCTTGACCTTCCAGGCTTCATTAACCTCCACCTGAAAACATAGTAAAATCATTAAGATTGTTGAAATAAATTTTAAAAAAAAATCACACAAAGAAGGAGACAGGTATTGTGAAGAGTCAAATTTTACCAGAAACCTGTTTACATCATCTGCGGAAAAAAAATTCCAACAAAAGCCAAAATATAATCAATAACTAGCACCCAGAAGTTAATTTAAGCAAAATTATCAGGAAAAATAAAACGGAAAGACCAATAAGAGGGAATATTCATGTAAATGTTCACCATAAAGGAGTTTCACTTTTCGCTGAAAAACAATCACAACTCCACCTGCAAAACAAGGTTTAAAGCTGAATTGTACCAGAGTAATTAAAAAAAGCTGAATCACAATTATCTTTGAATGCCACCGCTAAACACCGCCTTCTCTTTTAAACAATTCGTACCCATGAGTATTCCTGAAAGTCTCAGAGCCATTGGAACCGATGGATTCAAAATCTCTTCGCTGCTCAAACCAGGGCACGAAAACACAGTCAGCCCGGCTCGTTATATAATGCATTGAAAAGTAAAAAGGGAAATAAATCCCTACCAGATCTTAGTAATATTGATTTTGCTCAACTTCTTCCTGTTCATTTTCGCGTGCATAGTGGCTGCCATCCTTCATCACACAAAGAGCAGAGGAATGAACCGAGAGTCAGTCACACAACTCACAGACATCACAAAACAAAAATTCCAGACGAAATTAGCACCATTATAGCAACACGAGCTTCAAATTCGATGTAAAATCTCAGATACAATGCTAGTCACAGTCAGGCGATCTTCAAGCATCATATATACTCGCATAATCACACATTCAAAGACCGAAACATAAAAAAAATAAATCTATAAGTACTCCGTATCAAATTAGCTGCGTAAATCAACGAATTGCAAGTGAACATCGATCATCGAAACACGCTCTCTACTCATTTCAGGTGAAATGCAGAGCGAGTACACGACGGAGAAATATAAAGCACGAGCTATACGATGAAGTCTCACCATATTTGACCGAGAGGTGCCTTGCGGGCGAGAAGCAGGTGTGAGTAGAACATCTCGCCGGCGCCGCCGTCGTTTTAGCCGCCGCGTGAAGAAACCGCAGAGAAAATGGGAGTGACCGGAAAAGCTAGAGAGAGAGAGAGAGAGAGAGAGAGAGAGAGAGGTGTTTGTTGATTGTTGTGTGAATGTGCGTGCGCATACCCGCCATTAACAGAAGGGAGGGAGAGAGAAGTGATGGGGCCCATCGCAATCGGATGGTTCCACGTGTCCCATACGTTGCAGCTTTTTTGTTCGGACCCTATTACAACGGAAATTTGATTCTCACTCTCACCATATCTTACAGAATTTCAGGTGTTGGGTAACCATGGGGTAAAACTTAATTTGCTAGAGTAGATATAAATATGGCCTGGTAATAAGAATGATGTTTCGGAATTAACCGTCATCTTATTTGGCTTGACATTTTACAAATGATTAAGGATACTCTCTCTTTTGAAACGTTCTTTGCTGTTATTATTCACACTGTTAAATTTTAATAACTTTTTTTACTTATTTACATTAATTATTGAATAAAACAATATACTTCTAACTTTTTAAGATTTTCTTTAAACTTCGTGAAGGCAAGCAAAGACGATTAATTCAGGATAGTGGAAGTATTGAACAAGTCAACTATGATATCATCAATTTCTCCTTATTTATTTACTTTATTCTTCCAAAAATGTTCTTCCCATTTAGCTTTTCTTGGTCAAAATTTATAAACTTTGACCCCAATACATGGAAAAAATATATTATATTATAATATAAATTTAATATCAATATATTTATATTGAAATGTAGCTTTTAAATATCAAATTTGTATAACATATATCCATGTACAAATATAGATAATAATGGTCAAAATACAATATTAGATATCGTGAAAAATCAAATGAGAAGAACATTTTTAGAAGGAGAAATTACTATTTTTGAAATACCGAATGTAATATATCAAAACTTTCATTAAATAACCTCAAAGTTATTAGTGAAAATCATTGAGATATAAAGTTTTAACCAAGAAATATATGTTTAAAATGGCTATTTCAGAAAGAAAAACAATAAATAGATTAAAGTATCAATTTTCTTCTGGGGGTAAACGGTAATTATACTTTTCCCCTATATATATTCGTTGACGTGAAACGTGTCTCTTACTTCGCGAAGATACGAGATTGGCGTAACCGTTCCCATTCCTCTCCAACCTAACTCTCCAGGTAAATGCCTCGTTCTCAATTACTCCATAATTTTAATTCTCATTGTATTTATTTGTGTAATTAGGTGTAGATTTTCATTCAATTGAACAATTGTTTATGATTGATTATTGATAATTAGATGACAAATTTGAAATTCCTGAAGTAATTTGGGGGTAAATTATGATTTAATATATTTAATTTGGGGATTTTTTTTTGTTTTGTTTTAATGACTTATGCAATTATTACATACGGATTTTTGAAGTAAAATGTGACTTGCTTCATACAAGGAAAATGTGCCAAGGTGGTTGTACATAAAGTACTGAAAGTAGCGATAAATATAGTTACATACCGTAATTTTTATCCTATTTTCTTATATTATGGGCTCATTTGACTCCTATTATAATGACTTTATTCAACTAAGATTTTTTTACTGCATTTTGTATTCTATTGAATATTAAGATTGTTTGTTCATTATATTATTGATTGAGAACTTCATTATATTATTGATTGAGAATTTTAATGCATCATTATGATTTATTCCATTCTTTACGTGAAGCTAAAGCATTGTTAAAGATGTCTATTTTGTAAAATAAGTAACAAACAACAACAACAACAACAACCCAGGTGAATCCCACAACAGTAGGGTCTGGGGAGGGTGTGTGTACGCAGACCTTGCCCCTACTCGGAAGTAGGGAGGCTGTTTCCAAGAGACCCCCGGCTCCACCTGCACAAAAATATGGAAGGAAACACAGTATAACACAGATAAAGCACCAAGTACAAGCAACAAGTACAAGCAATAGAATATTTATTGAGCAAGTACAAGCAACAAGTACAACACAGTATAACACAGATAAAGCACCCTAAAAGGATTGCAATACAATATTTATGTTCTATTGTTTCTAACATCTTGTAATGCATATTTTTCTCGCTAATTCACCGGAAAAGTTGCGTATTTGAGCAAGAGTTCACTTCCAAGAAAATGCACAAGGCTGTTGAAAATGCTTAGGCATATGCAATATTTCCTTTCAATGTTTTTTTAACAGACAAAAAAATGTAAACCCAGAATTAGCTCTTAGTTTCGTTTGCAAGATTACTCTATATATAGGATGAAGCTTAGCCATCACGTATTTTAAAACTAAAGGAACAGAGATTTTGTAAAACCTGCCTTTCCCTTCTCTATCCTTAAGGCATGTGTAAGTTTCTGTGTTTATGATCATTCACTTCATCCTTGGCAATGCTCATCTGTAGCAGGAGTATTTGGAGTAGCCAATGCCAGCCATGTCCCCCCTTCTTTCGTGATAGAGGGGGGTTTCGTTGGACCATTTGAGCCGGGGCTGGAAATATTCCCTTTGCTAGAGCTTTCAGTCATCATTGTTGCAGCGCTTGGTGGAAATATCTGCATAGATATAGCATCAGTTAAATAGGAAAATAGTTAATACCTCATATGATATCTAGATTATAAACTATGTCTCATTATGATGGTCCATTGTCTTTTGGTCACAAACTCACATTTTTTTTGCTCTACTGTGCAATTTAGACATAATTTAGCTGTTATGCACTCGTGCATAAGGATCAAATTTTATAATTGAGACCTACAAAGTGAAACTTGGTTATGTATGAAGAGTTGAAAAGTGACTCACATTTGGCATTATGTCAGTAGTGGGGGAGGTGATAGTGTGCCTTGATGATTGGATTCCACATGGCCTTTCTTTGTTATTAAAGGGGTCATCATTTAGATTGATGAGAGCAGTGTTGGTGCAGGCATTTGAGACGGATGAGAGGGTGATCTTAATGGGGGCAAGTCTCTCGGGGACGGGCTTGATAGGGGGAGAGACGGGGGATGATGTGTAGTAGTTATTGGGGAGGAGGTGAACTGATGGGGCACTTGAGGAAGAGACAGAGGGTGGGGTTGGGACCATTAACAGATCCTCAACCTGAACAGTAGCCTTTGAAGAAGAGATGTTGCTGGAGTTGCTGTTTGGCCAGAGGAAAGTTCCTTGTGGTTTGCATATTCTGAATCCGCTCTTAAGCCTTTCTATTTTGGCTGCTTTTTCTTGGCCTGCTTTCGCCCTTTCTTCCAATTCTTTCTTCCTTCTTTGCTCAGCTTCTTCGACTTGCCTTTTTTCATTGTATGCAGCATTTGACTCCGCTAGTGTGGAGAAAATTTTTTCCTTTTCTTCCATTGTGTGTACAAAGTTCCCAATTTGTTTCTGTATCCCAACACCATCATTAATCCAACATTAATCCATATTGTTAATAGCATGAAAATGCATAAAAGGGAAATCCAAGGTCTTAATTATCAAGAATTCATCATTCTAAAAGAAGAAGAAATCATTGCATTTAATGTAATGGGATATGGGTGGTTGTTAAGTACCTCAATTTTTCCCAAAAAAGCTGAGGTGATCGTCTGCAATTGTTCCTTGTACATCTTCTGCAATAAATGAAACAGCATGTGTTATGTATACACACAACTTAAAGACATTATGTGTGAGAAATTTTAATGGTGTTTGAATTTATTACTCTAGTTTATTACCAATGCAACTGGTGAAATCTCAGGATCCAATTCATTTGAAACGAGATTCTGTGGGGTTTCTTGCTGCTTTATCTTCACCTGCAAGTCCTGAATCTCCCTGTACATAAAGAAGGAAAAAGGTGATATTGTGTATGTGAATAAAGTGACTGGATAAAAAGTGATATAGTATATGTGAATATAATCAACCTTTTCAGGGTAGAAATCTCGTCTTTCAAGAAGTTGAACTCATGAGCAGAGATGGGCTCAGGAGTAAGGCAATCACCAGGCTTCCAACCAAGGGGTGGAATCCAATAAGGATCACTCACTCCGGCTTCCTTCCTCACATTGACCAAATCAGCACTCTCCAACCAATATTCCATGGCTCCATCTGCATTGTGCCGTCTACGAAACCGCTCGTTCCCACCTGGTGCAACCTTACCCGCCATGTGCTTGAGTAGATGATCTAGCAATCCTGTGTCACCAATTCGCTTCCTGGCTTCTGCTCTTAGTTCAGGCCGAAGGATTGGGTTATTAGCTGTTGCTTTTTTCCCCTGCATGACCTCCAGAAGGTTCTTCTCTGCCATTTTATATCTACATTTACATAGTGCATATTCAAATTACAATGTCAGATCAATATGTATTAGTGATCCAAGAAATTAATTTTTTGGTGCAGACCTTTCCTCAGACCATCTGTTTTTGGGGTTCTTGTATTGTACTAGCAGCTTGCATTTGTTTCTCATCTTCGTGTTGTTATTCTTCCGTTTTTGCTTCTCCCGCTTTACTTTTTTGGCCTTTCTTATGGGGGTATGTCTCAAACTGTACCTCTTTCTCTTCAGGTTCGTATCGTTCTCAGGAACTTCAACTTTGATATCTTCCTCATCTTCTTCTTCTTCCTCCTCATTTTCTTCTTCATCTTCATCTTCTTTATCATCATATGTTGCTGGTGGCACTTTCTCTTCTTCGTTGATAATGCTGGAAGGTGATTTTGTATTCTTGATGTTTTTGTCTTCATGCCTCCTTAGGAATCTGACTTGCCTGCGAACTCCCCAACGAACCATCCCATTAACTTTGAGCTCAGACAAGCACACACCCTTACTTGAAGTGGAATCATCCTCATAACGATGATGATGATGATGATGATGAACTGAGGCAGAATTCACCCACCAGAAGCTCTCAAGATGCTTCTTCTCGGCAAACTCCTGAGAAGAAACTTGCCTGAGAAGCACTTTATCAGCCAGAGCAGTTCCCATTACAAACTTCTCATCCAATGCTGGATACATTTCTCTTATGCTATTGCAGAAGTATTGTTGAAGTGACTCCATACTTGGAAACCTTACTGCCACATTCAATGGTGTCTTCTCACTAACCTAATAAGAATTTGAAAAGGGGATGCATTTATTTATGGATTGTATGCTAAACCCATAAGTATTCAACTGTCCATCATGAACATTTGAGCTTGGTTAACTTAGCCAGCCAATTAAGTAAATCTGATTATCTTACCATAACAACTCTCATGGCCTTGAGTTGAACTGGCGTTCTTGGAGGAAGATAAATGTGATCAATCTCGTAAATAGAACCCACTTCAATGTTGAAATTGCATGCCAGATTTTCATGCTCTGCTGATCCATTAATATGATAGGAACAAAGACATCATATCAGAAATGATATTTTTCTTAAGCTGTAATTTTTTTGGGGATCTTAAGCTAGAAATTAAAAGAAAAGAATAGCACAAATTACACATTGCTTGCTAAAATGAAAAAACTGGGATTTGGACACTTATAAAGATTGCATTCTAGCTAAGGGGTGATATGGAAAACAATAATAAAATGTAAGATGTAAATACATAAAAATAAGGCAGCAGCAATACCAATATTGCATTGTAGGGTACAATTGTTGGCTGTAGTGGGCGTAGGAGAAAGACTTGGCATAGCCGGAACCAGTGAGCCTGCCACGCCACCCTGAGAATCCATTTTTTGCGACTAGTAGCAATAAGATTCACAAATTATGTGAGTAATTATACTCCCTTAGTCCGGCACAAAGGTTCTAAGCAAATTAAATTATACTCCGTACTCAGTATGATTGATATTTATGTAAAGAAGTAAAAAAAATAATATAAATAATACTCTCTATTATATTAAGTACGTACTCCGCACCCGAAACTTTTATACTTTAGAAAAAAGTGGGATTTATAAGATGTATAATATTGGTGTTACTTTTCATTGCAGGATAAAATAGAATGGGATAGGTAAATTAATAATAAAATAAATATCATGTGATAGGTAAGGTCATACATACAATTAGTAAGAGTAAAAAAAATACTTTAATTAAAAGTGAAAATATTTTTTGAGACAAATGGAAATAAAAACGGAAATATTTTTGAGGATAAGTATTTCTTTTAAAATAGAATGAATTATTTGGCCAGGACTAACTGACTAATGAAGCCGGGCAAAAAGATTATGACTTCTACACAAATCAATGTATTCTTCAATAAATGTCAAGCATAATAAACTTTACACTTCTCTTTCATATAAAATAAAAAGGTTACATTTTCTCCAATTTCTTTAATTTCTAATAGAATAATAATATGTGGCTTAAAATATTTTCATCTCTTTTAAACAAATTTTAATAACTCATTTTCTTTTTTTAATAAATTCTTAAATTTCATTAAATAAAAGTGTAAACATAAATGTAAGGGCAGAAAATTTATAAAAGTCCAAGAGCTAAAGCACAAAAAATGGCAATCCCTTTATTTTTGCAGCACTGATCGAATCATGCTGTCATTAACAATGGACAATCAGTAATATCGTCAGAGGAAAATCAGATTTTGTTTGGTTGTCAAGACTGAATATTTGAAATATTCATATATAAAAATAGAAATTAAATGTAGCTTACGGAGAGGGATGGATTGGACATTCTTGACCTTCTCCTGTAGTAAGTTTCCATTTTAGCCTGTCGATCTGCAAAACACCAAATGAAACTAAATGAGTGTTTGATTTGGATTATATTGAAACATATACTCAAAAGAATTCAAAAAAAAAATGTTGAAAAAGTTGCACCGATCGAGATTTTCTATCATGATGAATGCAATAATAGAAACAAAATTGAGGGTCACTATCTTCGGCTGGTATCAGAAGTGGCCAGCCGTGCTGCAGTTAGGGTTTCAGCAAAAATGGAAATGTCTGAAGACATGTTTACACGCGAGAACGAAGAAGCAGGAAAAAGGTAATAAAAAAATCAAAAATGAAGAAACTGCAGACGAGCGTTGAATACGGAAAGGGAAAAAAAGCACATGAAATTTCAGAGGATTATTGTACGTCTGTGTAGTCATCTGGATTCAACTTCCGAAGCCGATGAGCTCGGAAATCCATTAATGGAGATTGGAGAACACCATATCCGAAAACATCAAACTCCTTTTCAGTGAAGGATGAAAATAAAACAAGCCAAAAACCTAACAACCACCGTATGCGTCTGAAAATAAGTAGATGGGATAGAGAGAAGATAAAGCCGAGAGATTAAGAACGAGAAGGTACCGATGAGTGAGATTCAGCTTATTGAACAGCCTATTTAATGTTCTTATTCATGCAAACCGATCCGCAGAAGCTTGAAACGAAGGAATAGATCAAAAAATCACGAAGACGACGATTAAAAAAGGTTTCCCGGCGCTAACATCGACTTTCCCGGCGAACAATCGCAATGCTTGGCTTGACGACGACGAGTGAATACTGAAGGATTGAGATGGAAATGGCCGGTCAAGATATAGAGAGAGAAAGTTTGCAGGAGCTAAAGGTGGGAGCAGCGGGCGGAGGAGGCACGACGCCGGAGAAGAAGGTGCCGGTGGTGCGTGTGTAAGAGAGAGAGAGAGGGAGAGAGGGATCCGTGCTGCATCACGTGACAAATAACAGCCTGCAGGCGAGGGGGATTGTGGTCCTTCCTTCGTTAAATTACCGTTCTGTCCCTTCTAAAGGGCGTTTTCTGTTCTTTGATCCCCCTCGCCCAAACGTATCCATTTATGTCATTCCATATATTCTTACTGTTTAAACGAAATGTTTCCGCATATGCAAAGACAAAGTGTTTGGATACACATTTTTTTTACCTCACTCATGCAATTCACTTTTTACACCACGCCATCATTTACCATTCATTTCTCATGAAGTGGGTGAATATTGGACACTAGGCAAACAAATAGAGAAAACTGCACTATTTATTCTCGAATTCTTTGAAATTGCACGGTTTATTCATGAATATTAAAAAATACATCAAATAAATTTGAATTTTTGAAAATTACATGATTTATTCTTGAACATTAAAATATGTACCAAACACCCCTGAATTCTTCGAAAATTGCACAACTTACCTCTGAACATTTAAATAAAGGTAGTAATTTTGGGGAAGGGTACTTTGGAGAATTTACAAGAGCCAGATGAATCATATATACTCCTAATTTCCGTGTGTGGGAGCAACACATTCCCTATCTAGCATTTTAGGACCAACTTTGCAACTCTTTAAATTGTTCAGAAGTATTTGGTGTACTTTTTAAAATTTAGAGGTAAATTGTGCAATTTTTGAAGAGTTCGAGAATAAACGGTGTATTTTTTAATATTTCGGGGTAAACCATACAATTTCCAATAAATTCGGGCGTAAATGCACTTTTCTCAAAAAAATAATAGGGAGTAACCATGTCTCTAAATTACCTTTTTTTTAAAACTCTAAATTATCTTTTATTTTGAACACAATGTAAATTTCATATTTTTAAAATTAATTTATTTATAAGATGATAAAAAATCAAACTATATGAAAAATTTTACATTATTTTATCAAATTATCAATGAATAATACTTATCACATTATATTTTTCCAATACCCAAAAAATTGATCCAATCATCACATCTTAGGGAGAAGTATAGTCATAGCACTAATATATGCTTAAAATATCCAATATAGCACTGCTAGGGGATATTGGAACCCGTGTGGATGCAATTCCAAATTTGTCCTTACATTCTACACTGCCAAAAAATGTGTTTAATTTAGGATACACTTCCAGAACATGAGCAAAACACACTACCGTCATGTCCAATAGAACATGTAATCACATTGCCAAAGCATGATTATCCCACAATGCAGAAAATGTGTTTAATTTGGTATACACTTCTAGACTATGGGCATAACACACTGCCAGAAAGTGTAGCTAAGTTTTGTGAACCATAACACACTGTCCAAAACATGAGCATAACACACTGCTAGAAAGTGTAGACATAACATGAATATTCCATACTGTCAAAAAAGTTGGCATACACTTCCAATTTTGTTTATTAAATGTATTTAAGCAGTGAGGAATGACACGATAATTCAATTCTAAGTGCTACGTACATGGAACAAGAATAACGTACTTCTTAAAATTATCGATCTCAATAAATATGGTAAATGAAATAATTAAAATACCGCATTATAATAAAATGGTATGATTGGAAGCGATCCATGTCATAAATAGTTAAATGTGTGAAAAACAATAAGGAGTGATATATGTGTGGTATTGGGTGTCTTAGAGTGCTACATAGGATAATTTCTACAGGTCTTATCCTATATGATAGACAAACTCGAAAGTGACACAAAAAATATGCAATTCTTAATTATATTCACATTCTTTTAAAGTTGAATAATTTTATGGGACGAAGGAAGTATGTATTACTCAGTCTCTAGTTTTGAATAAGTGTTACTTTTTTTGTATGTCTAATAATAGAATTTACATTTTCTGTGATCACTTTCTTTTATGCGAAACACATGTGTGTTCTCTCTTTCAAATGAATTTCAAGAACATATTTTTTATACTTCGCCATTTTTTAAAACATTTCTCTTAAGTTTCGCGAAGTTAAAGTGTTAGGTTCATTTGCGAATGGAGAAAATACATTACTACCACTCTAGCTTTTATTTTTAATTTTTTCTTTGAAATAGTCCAAAGAGGGTTCGTTTTCTTTTTAAAAATGTATTATGTTTGTTATTCGTGTTACTTTTGTCTCTCATATAAATATTAATCATACAACTTTTATCTTATT